TTTACTTTCAGTGCTCGTTCCCTTACTTTTGAAATTGATTTTAATTCTTGTTCTTGTATTCATCAGATTGATTGACTAGTACTACGGTACATTTTTTATTTTCATCACTCTCAAAGCAATCCACATTAAAATTTTATTGTAGGCATTAATAAGTGTTTCGAACGTCATAAAGTGAATCGCTTTAGGATATAAAACAGTTTTGCGTAGCTACGAAATTTCTGAACGGTTTCTATTGAGTTCTGAATTGCTTTAGCAAGATTCGGTTGTCCATCGGGCCTTCCAACGAGTGGAAATTCCGCGTCTTCATGTAAGGCGGATATGGTTGGATGAAGAAGCTTTTTCCGACGAATTAGGTTTTAGGTCCACGGTGCAAGAAGATTGGCGTTATTAGATTGGTGTGCAGCCAAGAAGCAGTAGCTGATTTGAGAGCATGGCGGGAAGCCTTGCCGACACATATTACGGTGGAATACGGAAATCGATGAGGAAATATACAATAGCTATGGCTTGCAACTCTGGATGTATTTAGCTCTTTAACGTTTTAGAAACCTCTTCAAGTTACTACCCATAAAAGATTGGTCCAGTGGCCAAACTAAAATAGTGGTCACATTACAAATTAAGGTATTGCATAGACTCTGCCTTGCTTAGGGGAGAACCCTTTGGGAGGAGTCGGTTCCCCTCACAGCTGTTGTACTGCGTGTATGATGTAGGCTCTCATTTAACTAGTGTATCATCGGTGTGGTGGCAATATAGGTGTCCACCTTTCTTCAGCGACTGTTTCTCGTTTTTCTACTCTCTGCCGGCGCCTTTTTATGAAAATCTTCTGCCCTATCGATATTTCTTCTTCGACCTTTGCAAAACTGACAGAGAACTGGGTGCTACTAGAAGTTCTCTATTATCACATATGTGGCTGCCAATTATTCATTGCTGGAAAGGACAAAAGTCAGTCATCGGGTTTGTGCAATTATGAAAAACTTAGTTGTCTTCACAAAGGTATGCTATATTCCGTGATGGCGATTAGATAAGCGAAATTTCGGATGTGGATATTAATATATACTATCTAGACGAACTGGATTCCTTTTTAATTGTTTTTACTACAATTATTATGTTACATAATGCCGCTTATAATGAACGTATGGTATTTTTCATTTGTTTAATATAATTTATGTCACTAAGACCACAAAAAGTCAGTAACTTATACGGGTGATGTAGATTTAATTTGTATATATACAAATAACATATACATAACACATATGCTATAACCGCGAGCAAATATAAATATTATTATAATCCATAAGCCATTTGCGCGGTCTATGTGGGCATGTATATGTTTTTAATTAGAAATTCTCATTAAAAAATATCGGTATGTCAAAAATGCGTATATAAAGCATAGATAGTTATATTCATTCATTTATTATCCTTTTCATATATATTGAAACATTTATAAATAACACCAAAACCAATCCAACTAATCCGACTCTGAGGTTTTGCCATAAATATTAATCATAAACCAGAGAAATGTTTTCTTGTTTTTCTTTCTTTTTTTTTTTTTTCTTATATTTCACATGTGTTGTGCATTTATTCCATACGAAATGCGCATACATTCATCCATATATGTTCGCATAACCACACAATTATTATGTACTCAATCCCCGGACGTTCGAATTTATTTATAATACCAATGACGACTTTGACAATGTTGTCTATATTGACATTTTCAATGATATTCAATGATGTTGTAACTGTTGGTTAGATATTGATAAATAATGTCATCATTCGCATAGTATATATGTATACAGAGAGGAGATGATTATGACGATGATGATGTGAGTTATTATCGATTAGTTTGAACAGAAATTAATACTGTTTTTATTGCGGCTGCACATTCTAAAAGCGTTTACATTTATGAGTTTTTGATACACTAGCGCGCACTATTTCGCGTGCACTTTTATGGATAAAACTATGCATTCGCTTGCTAGCGTTCATTTCTCATCATTCGCAGTGGTTTCATGTCAAGTTCTGATTTCATGTTGCTTGATAAATAGAAGAAGATAAATAATAATAGTTAGATAAAATGAAACTAAAACGCGTAAAAAAAAAAAAAAATGATTTTCTCAATTGAAAATTTATGTTGTAAAAAATATGAGGATCGGTCCGAATAGGCTCGGTCTTGGCAATACCGAGATCAGTACAGTTTTAGCTAGAATTGTTTGTAGATTCCAAGTTACGGGAACAGTTCGTTGAGACCTCATGCGCCATATTTATCGTAATCAGTAACTGTTAAAATTTAACATTGTCTGTCTCTCCTTTTCATCATATAATAATAGTTCTTTAAATTGTCGATTTTCGATAATTTATATATATCGAGTTTGAAAATAAATATGACTGGTACACGGACATTTCTTGAGTTAGCTGAAAAAGTAAAGCAATTTTTATCTTTGTCGCTAATAATTCGTCGTAAGTCTTTAGTAAATTTGTCTACGTAATTAGCTTATTTAAATGCTAATTGTTGGCCACGACTTGCACATGTAAAGATCTAGTTAAAAGAGCAAATCTCTTTAACGGTTTTCAAGGCTTTTTTCGAGGATTGCATCCAACTCTTTTTTTACACGGTAGATCCGTTCCTTAGAAAACCGCACGAAGAAAAAGTGCATATGACGTATGATAAATTTCGTTACATGTTCCACAACTTTAAGAAATCGTGTAAAATGGAAAATATTTTCCCAAGAAACCGTGTAAAAAAGTAATAATGAAATTTTTATTGGATTCATCAGTAGCGGAGGCATTTGTATGTCATACTACCAACTTATTGAATGATATGTTATATAACTACTGCGTAGTATGGAAGTTTGCTATTGTAAAACAGATTTTTTATTTCATTGTGAAAAGGAAAATTATTGCAAAGACTGAGGATTTCGGTGTAGGTGAAAGATGTGAGCAAATTTGCCAAATATTAAGCTGTAAGGGGCTGCAGTGATAAATTGGCTATTTTGCCACAATAAATCAGTTATTAAAAGTATTTTTCAATTCCTTTGGGAATCATTATTAAGTACAGTTAATAGATTACATTTATATCTTTTTTTGTTTTTTTTGTTTTGTACATATATACAAACAAAATATGAAGTTATAAAATTGTTAACATTAGTGAGCTGAAAAAAACATTGTTGTTGTTGTCATTTTATTTTCTTTTTAAAGCCAAGCAATTAAATATCAATTAAAACTCAATTTAATTATAACAATTTCGCATGGACATGAAAGCGTAAAGTAATCAATTATAAACTTTTTAACACGCAATGCAACAAATGAATTTAAAAATAGACAATAAACGGACGGACGGACGTAGACAGACATACGCAGGTCTGTTAGACCGAATAAAGAAATTTCATGCACGTTCGAACGTTACTACAACAGTTGATTTTGTGGTAAAAAATGGGGTGCGGAGTGCGGATCGCGTCGAGGAGGAGGGAGTGCGGGGGCTGTAGCAGATTGAAGGTTTATTAACATTTAACTTTGTTAACAAGCGAAAAAGAAAAAAAAATTAATAAATTTTTTTTGAAAATAGTTAACGGTAAAAATGTGCGCACAATGTGCCAGGAAGTGATTATAAACTGAACGATTGAAGCAATATATATATATTTTTTTTTGTTTGTCAGCTCAATTAATAGTTGTTACCGTTGCAGACATTCATGTTTTTACCAGCATTACAATGAAATATATCATGTGCATGTATTTATGTATATAGATACATGTGTTTACATACATATGTGCAAATATATACAAAAATATATAGAGCTTCCAACTACACGATATGAATGTGTTACCATGCAGTAATCCATTCATACAGATTTCAACATACGTCGCCAATGCATAAGATATTATTTGCATACTGATGACCTCTTTAACACTTGTGATTGTTCATGAAGTGCATTTAAGCATATGAGCAACGCCTACGACTATTTCAATGCATACTTAAACTTGACAAAAGCATTGAAATAGCAGCAGCTATATGCGGAAGAGGGAGCGTTTAAGGTGCAGGGTATTGGCCATTGCGCAAACAAAGAGACCAGTAAAGTCAAGTGTACACAATCAGAATAACCAAGCGGCAGACAATTGCTCTGATGGCCCCGAGTAAAAGAAATTCTATTCATGTTATATTTGTGAGTTTGACAATTTTCACAATTTTCGCTGCTCATATCTATCTATGCTTATGGTATGCGCTAGTGTAAGTTATATGGATGTTATGCTGGAATTCACAAAATCAAGTTTGGACATTCATCCAAGCGTGCACGATATGTGTGTATATAGCTTAGCTTAATACTTAGTTTAACCACACATGTACAAGCTAGCATTCATGTATACATGTATACGTACATAAATGCATGAATACATACATACATACATACATACATATAAACATACGTACATATGCATGTAGTTAGATATTTCGCTTGGCAAACTGGCATTGGACCATTGCTTTGCCTGTATTGTGCCCGGCCAATATAAGTCCAAAAAGCAAATGTCTCAAGTTGTGGTCATTGCGGTAACCGCAAAGCATTAACATACTTATAAGCATACGTTCATAGATATATTAATGTATGTATATATATATACATACATATATATATATATATATATATAAGCAAATGGTTATATGAGTGCGTCATTATATTGTATATTGTGCGTTATATAAATGAATGCACAATCACACCCTCCTTTATATACATATGTACTTACATATACATATGTTCATTCCCTTCTTTCCTAAAACCAACAGGGGGAAAAAAAAAGAAATATTTTCGGTTAACCAAAAACATTGTGTTGTATTGAGGTTTATGCAAATAATTATTAGATAATTTTATGCGTTGTATTCTTGTCTCTTAACAAACAGCATTGAATTTCCAATTCAATTACAGTCAATTGTGTGTAAAATTATACATAAACATATTTTTAATGTCAAAGCCTTTAACAAGCGTTACGTAATAAAATTTTGTATTTTCTTTTAGGACACACACAAAAGTTAACACCCTACATTAGGCATTGGGAAGCAGCAAATTTCGACAGACGTCAATTGCATGAGGCTCATGAAAAGCACATCGAACAGAAGCGGCATCGAAGAAAACGAGCTTTAAATATCGGCGAATATGGGCCGGCGCACACAATAAGACTGAATTTCTTCGCTCATGACAGGTAACATGCAAAAAATTAATAATAATAATAATAGAAATAAGTAAGAAAATTATATTCAATCGTGACAGAATTTCTTGTACCCGTCACCGTTGTCCTAAAAAAGACTAATAGAAAGGAAAAAAGAACACAATTTTCGATCTCTACAATATCGGATAGGCGCAGCTGATTTTTTCTATTTTCAGAATAAAAGTGTGTATTGCTGTAGGCTTTTCCTTTGACCGGCTTACGCCATTTTCACTTTGTTTTACAAATTTGTAGGCGATATCTTCATTTTTGCGAACGGGAGAATGTTCATCACAGATACTTATCTAGTTGAGCAAATGGAAAGACGGATGCAGTTGGGTGTATTTCGTACTTTAAACTGGGAAAAATTTCATGTACTTTACGTGGTTTATGAACCTTGAAAGAAACGAATGAGAAAATTATATTCGACTGTCATCGTGGAAAAGGCTAAAAGAGTGAACGAAAGAAAAGAGATTTCCATGCTCTCTTATATCGGGTGCGTGTGGTTGCTTTTTGCATTTCCTCCCTTCTAGAATATATGTGGAAGTTTTTATAATGTGTCTAGTAGTAGAGCATGAGTAATCATTAAAAACCCCAGTTAATCTTACGCTGTAGACGCATTCTTGGGCAGATTTGATGCATTCTGAAAAGCAATCAGATTTGAAGGGGATAGCTTTAGGATAAGGTATGCTACAGATACTGCACAGACGCGTAGATGAACGTCATCCTAATCAAGGAGTTATGTGTACAGTTTATGAGATCTGTGAAGCTTTCTGCCGGGTCTTGCAAACGTTTTGACAAAACGAATGTACTCCCACCCTTCATTAGTGAGCATAAAAATCTCGAAATGATAAAAGCAAGCGAACAGTGGCAATAAAAATAAAAAGTTCAAAGTTGAGCAAGGGCAATATGTATACATATGCATATATATATCGAGAACTACCTTAATTGTCGACCTTTCAAAAAGTACATTAAAACAATCACGTCAGCTTTATTTTTATCTGCCTGCATCTTTATTGATCTTCTTCTTCTCGTATATATAAGCAATACGATAGCTCTGAAAATATGATTAGATAAAATTCCTTTTCGTTCTGTGTGTTTTTCCTAACCTTTCTTTATTTTGATTTGAGCTCAGTTCCGTATAATCAATGTTGCGAAAAAGTGGGCAAAACTCATTCATTTCAATGTTTTACGATAAAAATTTGCTCTACAATGTGACACAGAAAGGTCTGCTTTTTCGCCATCATCTCGAATAATGGGTTTTATGGAAAGTGGACCAAAAGTTATTAATACAGGCGAAGTGTGTTAAAAAGACTAATAACAAGAAAATTGAATTTTCTAATCACGTTAGTGTATGTTGTAGGCCAACTCTCATATCAGGGCTTCTCAAACATTGAAACAAGGCATAAGTTTTGGTATTTGTGCAGGAAAATAAACGAAAAGTTGTGTTAGACAAAGAGGTGTAAGGTATTTAACGGCTGAGTTTGGACAACTAATTCTTGTGCTGCGTTGAACTCTGAGTGTGCTTCGCTACTGTGTCTGTGCAAACTTCGCCTGAGGCAAATCAAAAGATGGGGAATTTTCAGTGTGGTTGTTTGATGGTTTGGCTTCCTTATGTCTTCATTATGCCTTACGTCTATGAAGATCTTAAGGCAGAAAAGAAAAATCAATCAACTGGTTTTGAACTCATGCTCCGTGGGGTTTCTCTGACAGGCCAAATATATCACGCTGCTATTCACGTGGCTTGCTTACTTTGACCTATCTTTCTGTTTCGATCCGTCACATTGTTTGCGCTCAAGCTTTCCCGGCACGGGAGAGGCGAAAGATATAGAAGATTAACAACCCCGTAGTATTCTCTTTAATAAGGACCTCTTGAATCGCATATTATGTTCAAAAATTCAATTCAATTCAATTCAAATCGATATCAAAAATTTTGGTTTAAGTCATAACTTCTGTCCTTTGTTAAGTCCTTTCCTCTCCCCCGCCCCTTTCAATTTCCTCTCTCTCACCAACTCTTTACTGCTATTTACATTGTTTTGTATTGGACACATTTTTGTTCGTAGTATCATATATATTAGAATAACATTCTGGCAGCATGTTGTGTTGTATAACAACTAAGCAAGAAAAACATAGCACACAACAAAACAGGACAAGACATTGCATGCAGATGCAATACATCTTGGAATTTTGTATTTTATCTAAAGTAAATGCCAGAGTTGAATTATAAAAGCATGTATATGAAAACGTGCGTTAAACGTGCACTAAAGAACAGTCCTGAAAACATACAGAGACGCACATAAGATTTTCTAAACAATTGTTGAAACTTAGTTTCGGATTAGCAAGCGTGATTTTTATGTTTAACATGCGTAACAGATGGTTTGTAAGAATTGCATTCCTATCTATGTGTCTGGTATTTAGAAGAGATTCAATAAAAATGTTTTGCATTTCATGTAACAATCTATTAAATTTTTTGCAAAAGAAAAAAAAAAAAAAAAAACAAAAAAAAAAAAGAAAGAAAAAAGAAAAAAAAAAGAGAAAATAACAAAAAAAAAAAAACACTATATACTAGAAGTAAATGCACATAAGTACTTATTTGATTTTCAACATTTAATTGATTCTATTCGATTTGAAATTGAAAACTTCCGTAGAGTTTGTGTATCACTCAACCGTAAGTAATTACAATAGAAATTATAAATCGATTCGTAAAGCTTAACCTGTACGCTTACACATCCGCCTACAACATATATTTTTATGTTGAGGAAAATTTTACTTAACCGTAAACGATTTGTTCCTTTTCTGCCTTAGAAGCAATTGCAAGAAATTGTTTGCCAGCTGCTAACGCTCTCAGGTCTGAGGTTATTAAACTTCTCATGTACATATGTATAGCTTCAGGATATCGATAAATTATAAAACAGCCTATCAATGTCCCTCATGAATATGCATCTAGGTATGTGCAGTTAACTCAATGCATGTTTACAAATTGCAAATATATATGTTCTGGCGATTAGTGTAGAAAGTATTGAGCTTTTCTGTGTAATCAGTTACTATCGTTAATGTAAGATTACGTGTCAAAGGCCCAGCTAGACGTTATTTGATATTCTGATACTAAAATACCGCGTCGAGGACATGCATAGAACTTACGTAGGACACAGTCAGAAAACGATTTAATGATATATGTATTAACAGAGCTGTAAATGCATTTTGAAAGATATCCGAAAGAAGAGGTGACTAACGCCATTTACTTATGCCTGGCCATCTGAAATAAAGATCTTGAAAAGTGCAAACAATGTATTTTTTGTGGGTCTTGGTTAGATCTAGTTTCGATCCTTCCTCTCTTTAAATGGCCTGCTTAAGATTGCTGGCTGTTAAATGAAATGATGAAATATGGATAGGTTTCGTTAAAGCATGGCCTAGAAAATCATTAAAACCATCAATAAGGCCAATGTCAACCTTTCGATCGATTAGGTCCTCCGAACTAATGGAACCATCATTGAAGAACATTGCATATGGAAAACGACTGACCTGGTTGTTAACGGAAAAATTGCCGCTTAATTACACAACCGTCATAGGAGAATTTTTAATTATAACGATTTCTTATCTTTCGGTCAGGGGACGCTAATAGCAATGCACTGGCACTGGTGTATTTACAGGATACTTGGGCTTCAGATACTGAACACTTATTTCACCCGTTGATTTATTCTGCTTGGGCTGCGCTTCGACTCTTACGCTGCTCTTCAAAAATGCTTGCTTTCGAGAAGAATCTCAAAAATCAAGTATTGTTTCGGTATAGGATTCATGACATGTCCGAAAAAGAGAAAATTTCTTGAAAATTTATTCATGATGATAAAAAAAATATCATAGCACGAGATGCTCTTTGCTAAAACAATTGTAATGAATTTTCGTTTTGAAGGACGTTACATAATTACTAACTGATACGGACGCATAGGAGAAGGAGGTTTTGTACTTGCATACATGTTGTCTTAAGTGTCAGCTATCCGAATATTATTTTGATCTAGAGGTCAAACGATTTATTAGAAACTAATACAGCCTTTCAATCCATTAACTATATAGCTCGAAGGAATATAGATACCGCTAGCATCCCTTTACAGATTTCTCAAGAATGGCTGTAATCAATGAAAAGATTTATCAGAAAAATGGCTGGAAAACGTCGAACGAATCAAGGCATATCCGACTCGATAGTCTTATTTTCCAATGATAATTAATTTATTCTCGAAAAACTCAGTACTTTTCAAGCCCTTTTCAATGCATAAAGAGGTACACAAGCGTGAGTGTATGCATGTGTTCGTGTATTTGAAAACAGTTCATAACGTTGGTCAGTTTTAAAAATTCTTCTTTCTACATGCAACTATTTTATTTCCTGTTTTTTTTTTTTTTTTTTTGCGTTATTTCAATTCTAAGCTATTTTTCATATCTCTGCCATAAATCGTTTGATTAACAATATTTATGTACAGTACAGGCTACTACCGCTTGATAAAAATAAAAAAAAAAGCGAAAAGAAAAAAGAAAAAAATTGCGTATTATTATAATTTAGATTTTCCTACTTTACGTAGCGTATTTGCTAAACGATTTGCACTGGCTTTTTTTTTTTAGGGCTAGTTATGATGCATGCATGCAAACTTTTAATACCTTTTTCATGCTTTGTATGGCGTATAACGGAAGTTTTGCGGATTTGTATTGATTTCCGTTAGTCAGCTTATGTTGTTATCATTTTATGCCAGCCACCCAGTAAGCCGGCCTCAGTAACTGGCTGGTAACTAACAACGCCTTCTTTTACGATTGTATTCACGTAATTCGATAAGTAGAGAGAGAGAGAGAGAAAGGATTTTGTTTTTTTCCTGTGCATTCAAATATATAACTAACAAAATAGTCTCTGAGGTTGGAATACGCTTTGTATTATTTAGAAATTTAAATTGTTCGATTCGGACTGGAGCGTTGCATGTTTAACAATACCCTCACATACCACCACCATGTCTTAC